TGGGGGGGGAATCCCCCCAGACCCCCCTTCTGTGGTTGGGCTTTCAGCACGTGTGCCTTCTTGTGTTATACAGTTCAGCTTTGATCCCATCATGTCATTAAACCTTATTTAAAAGCATACTTTAGTTCTGTGAAGGGATATAAGGGATATGCACTGTACTTCACTTTCATTAATATTGTATGCTGAAAAGCGTGTATATATATATATATATATTACAGCACGATTTTTTGTTGAATAGATTTGAGTGGTTCAAAATTTCAGGTCGCGATTTATTGACTAAGGAAAAAGTGGGTCCCGAGGCCTGACCAGTTGAGAACCACTGGCTTAGAGTATGCTTTGTTTGCTGGTTGTATCTTAAGGGAGACTGCTGAATTTGGTTTGAATGAGTTTAATGTTAAAAGATTTCCGTTGATGTTGTCTAACACAAGTACAATCGCATCCAAGTGGATTAGAAGTGGTCCGACATTTACACCAGCCATTCTTCAGCTTTCCTACGCGAGTTGCTGGTCCTGTTGTTCTCCCTTCCTATTGTTATGTGCACTTTGCCCTTTTTTTCTGTAATTAAATAGACTGCAATTGTTTGAAAAGGCCTGTAAAGTCTATCAGCCATTGAACAGGATTGATTTATTTTCAAGTGGTTTTGATGTCCCTCTACATGTCTCCTTTAATCTGGTTACGATGTTAGCCTAATCCAATCACACACAGAGATGAGAGGATTTCCCCTTTAAAATATGTCTTTTACTCTCAAATGATAATGCTGTTACATGGGTCTTGTGAATGTGTGTGTGGATTACGCCTGGTATTTACTGCCAGTGTGGGTATGGGTACCATCACTTATTGTGTGAAATTATATCCTGTTGCCTTTTATCTGATAAAGGAGATAAAGGAGCGACACAATGTCTGTGACATCGGCTGTGTCTTGTGACAGAGACTTCAGCCAGACCCTGCCACACACTGACATACTGTAGAGCCACTGCTGGGCTTTTCATACAGGTGCCAAGAAACATTTACATCATGTGTCTCAAAAAGGTGTTTCGAATATCTGATTTGATATTTGTCTTCTCTGCCTGTTGCTGCTTTCCAACACATACCAGTTAATAAGCACCACACCACACACAATTATGATAAGCAGATCAACAAAATGTTGGAATGTAACTAAGTATATTTACCTTACTTAAGTATAATTATACGGTACCTTACTTGAGCATTACCATCCACTAGATCAGGGGTTCCCAAAGTGGGGGTCGCGAGATGATCATAAAATAAAAATGGAAAATAAAAAATTATTAAAAAAAATGGATTTTTCTTTTTTAATTATTTTTTTGTTTTAATTATTATTAATAATAACGTTTGTATATAATTTGTTTTCTTTGACAATCCACTAGCGCAGTGTTTCTCAAACTTTTTCTTTTTCTTTTCTGAAATTAATTCACTAGCACACCATGAACAATTTTTGCCGAAACAAAACACAACTCTAACGCCGAGCATCTGAATTAGCACTAAGCGAAAGAGTGCTAACGCACTTAGCACATAACTCACGGTATTTTATACTTCTGCGATCTACAGAAGCTAGATATCATATGAAAGCTGAGATTCCTCAGATTCCAATGGTATAAGTATCATCACTGTGCGACGAAAACTCACGGCAGCGAAAGCCAGCAAAGACAACACACAACTTCACTTTACGGGGCCAAAACGGCAAATACGTCTTACCTTTGCTGTTTTCTGAACAAAAGTTGTGTTCAATGGCATTAAAACGCATACAAACGCTGCTGAAGGTTAATCCAATGTCTCTGTGTCACTTTGAAATGACTACTGATAATCCATCATAACATGTATGTCAATAAGAGTAGTTTTCATATAGAGCGTAACCCAGCTTCCGGTTTTGGGGATGCTGGCTGCCCATCACTCTCATTCCTCAATGGTAATGTTTAGATGGATTTAGGAACTCCCCCTCAATTCTATTGGCTCTAACAGTTCAAAAGAGGTGTCAATCACCAATGGGTTCCAGAGATATGGCAAATACACCCAAATGGGTTTTCTTCTAAACCTCTCAAATTTCACTTGTTTTGCATCAATCTTGATACAGGGTACTTATTATATGTTATAGTTTGGATTCCTAAAGCTTTCAGTCTACTA